ATATTTCAAAAGCAATCAAAGATTAAAAGAGGGAGTAAAGCAGACAGTCAACTGGGCACCTGCCACTAGCAAGACAGTTTAACTCACCAAATAGAGACTGCTGGGAAAGGCAGAGCCTGGAACGTGGAGCCCTCGAAATGGGTCGTAAGGCTTTGCTAGGACCAGCCTTTGAGCTCACCCCAGCTGTCAGCAGTACTGTCACTCCAGCTGTTACAGAGCAATGGATTCCTGTTGCCAAGATATGGATTTGGTTTTAATAACAGTTAGTGCAAACATTGTAAATTTACTGCTGCTAGAGAGAGTTTTTGAAAACGTCCAACTCTGGCTATAATTTTTCAACCGCACCAGCTGTTTGTGCTCTGTTCATACCTGACATGGTGCTTTGAAATAGCAATCACTGTATTTATAAGAAGGGAAAGACTCATAAATATGTCAGGAGTGGAATATACAACACCATATTTCACCATTTTCTATTTTAAAATTGTGAGTTATGGCTACAGAAATGTGGACCCATTAAAGGTGATATGATGTATTTTGTGTCTTGTTCAGGAGCCCATCCATCATTGAGACAATAAAGAAAACCGCACTTACTTTTTTTCCCTGTCGTCTGTAATTTATGATGCCCAAAAAGCTGTAACCTTTTGGCAGGCTTTGCAGAAACTGCTGCACTGTTAGCAACTAAATAACCTTTTATAAGGTTTTAAATGTGTTGCTACAGTCTCAATGCACTTGCCGTATCGATCCAGAAGATCCTGCAAAAAAGGGGAAAGGAACATGATCTATAACAGGATCAATAACAGTATATAGATTGTTGAAAGATGCTTCTAATGATTTTTGCCAGCCGTCATCTTTCAGTGTGTTGCTCCCCATCTTTTAGGCTTCAGTCTTTGCTCAAATTAATTAACCCTGCTTGGCTCTGTGTATGCCAGGGTGAATGCAGCAGGCAGGGAAGATTGCAATGTGTTTGCAGGCTGGAGATTAAGTGGGAAGAACGGTAACGTCAAACACCAGGCTGGAAGTAGGAAAGCCAGGCTCTGTTCTTGGCTCTGCCCAAGGTCACACCACAGATCTGTGGCAAAGTCATTTCCTTTCTATGCCTTTATTCCTCCCACCCAGCCATGTTTTGGCCAAGAAGTTCTCTGAGGGAAGGGAGCAAGCTCAGGGTGTGTGTGGCACCTAGGACAGTGGGACCCCAATCTGCTGGATCTCTAGGCACTACAGTGACACTGCCAATTGCTTTACATGTAGGGAACATTATCCCCCAGAAGTCTGTTCCAATTTGGGCCTCATTATTGGAACAATTGCCTAAGTCGTGCAATTCCTACCTAAGCCACTGCTCTTTTATTTCTCCTCACGTCCACTGAGGACTGTTGGTATGACCCTGTCTTCAGGGCATGGGTATGATGCTCAATCAATAGGACCATCCCCACTATCCGTGAGACCAGTCACTTTCCTGCTGAGACTTAGCATTCATAGGAGGTAAGGAAGCCCTGGGCATACCCTCTTTTCCCCAGCCCTCCCTTGTGGCTCACAGCCTGGAGGATGGATGAAGAAAGACCTGCTGTGATCCCCATCCTGGCTTACTATGCCATCATTGGTGCTGTTTTGCACAGCCACTGGGATGACAAGCTGCTGCAACACAAGGGTGGAAGTCAATAGGGGAATGTGTTGTGGAACAGGGTTTGAATTCAGGAGCCCAAATCCTTGAGAGAGGGGAAGGTACGTCTTGTGAGTAGGAGGTGTAGAGCAGCCATGGGGGAGTGTTGCTGGGCATGCACTAATAAGCTGCCTGTCTTGGGCATGTTGATTGGCATATGTCTGGCTCAGGCTGTGCCAATGTGTGACGCATCCCTCATCTCCCTGCACCCATCATCCAGCAAAATGGGAATACAGCCACTCCCTTTGTTTGCCAGCTTTGTAAACTGAGGCAGAGACCTTCTCTTACCATGTGGATGGGGCTTCCCCCCAGGGCACCTGGCCTCAGCTGGGGCCTGCAGCGGCTGCCATAAAAGAAGCAAATAACGATGAGGCCAAACCCCCAAATAAGCAGCCAGGCAGAAAAAGCAGGGGAGGGGATCCAGGAGTCAGACTGGGAAAGCTATGAGGTCTGATGGAAGCATCATAGACTAGCCAGTGGGGTTTAGGCACCTCATTCCCTTTGATTGCATTTGGAGTGAGGCCCCTGGATTATCTGCCTCTCTAAACACCTTTAAAAAAATGTGCCTGCAAAATTCAGAATCTGGACAGTGGCTGACTCTTGTTCAGCATCGGACTTCCTAGAAATAGGCCTGAGCCTCCAAAACAAGGCAGAGTTCCCAACCCTTTATGAATCAGGCCCCTTACAACACCACATGTGCAGCTCCCCCAGTCACAAACCCCTCTAGAAGATCTTGGCCTGATGGAAACTGGCTTCTGCACAAAGCCCACTCCCAGGTCCACACTTGTAGGCATCACAGCTCCACTTTACAGGTTTTAATTATTAACACTGGACACTTACAGGTTTTAAAAGTGCTGAGTGGGAAGCAATTATAAGGAAGAAGGTTCCTTGTTCACAGACCTGCGCCATCAAATATAAAAGAGAATACCAAATGAACAGAGGATGCGTGTAGCCATGTATTGACAGTGCACTGCTCCTATAAAGCATGGGCCTGGTTACTGTTCCTTTGTGGATTAGTCTCTTTGTCATTTATGTTTTTCCCCCCAAAGCAGCCACCAAATCATTATTAACATGATAAATAAAATGAGAGGGCAAGTTATTAAATATAAAATATGTGGAGCTCTCCCAGAACTCACAGAGTAGTTCATAAATATGATGGCTTAATTTAATCTGTAATCCAAATGGCTGATGAAGCATTACACAGCTCTCTGTTAATTGAAGATGTTAACAAAGCTGAAGAGAGAGAGAGAGAGATTATTATGTATAGACTTTTATCCTTCAGGGGTATCATCATAACGGATCATAAATGGAAATTAATTCATCGCTTCCGCATGCCACGGAGGGATCCTTCAGTGAAGTTTTATCTGAAATGGAAGGACAGATGTGGCCAGCAAGGTGGAAGGGGGGCTGCATCACTGGGAGCGGTGTCTTTGGGATGGGATCTAGAACAGAAGATCTGGTCATTAAAGTGTCCTGCCACTTTGTGAAGAGCAAGGGGTCAGCCTCAATGCCCTGGCCACATTCTGTTCTGCCTTTTAAGATTTCCTTGGATGTTCCAGCTCAGCGTGCTATTCTCCTGCTTTCCTATCCTTGGTTACTGAGAGCCATCAAGCAGCTGCCACCCTAAACACAGCTTCAGTTCCAGGCAGGCCTATGCAGAGGCTGTCTATCAGCTTGTGAAGTTTGTAAAGCTCTTTGAGCGCTTTTGATGTGAAAGGCAGTCCTGCATTGCAAGACCGTGGTCATTACCAGGGTTGTTCAATAAATCAGTAAAGATGGAAAAGCCATTCTCGCAGCCCATGCGCCCTGGCAGAAGTGTTCAAGTACAACCAAATCCTCTGCGTTCAAGCTGGTTAATCTGCTCCAAGGCACAAGACAAGTTTTTGTGCTCTGAGCATGCAACAAGAACTGAGCACATTTATCAGCCTCCCAAACAAAGGGTCATTATTATCTCCGGCTTAAGTGTCTATATTTTCAGCATGTTGCTTAAAGTAATAATTGTTTGACTTCTTCAATAACGGCTTGTTAGTGATGGGCTATTTGTTTTATGGAGAAGTGGCTGCCTGCTGTAACTGGGTATTAAAAGTTTTATGAAAACAGCTATACTTCTTCCAGAAGCTTGGGAATGTTTGTTTCCTAAGCCCAGATTCCTCTAGGCACCGAGAGATAATCAATTATTTGTTTGATTGATATGCCACCCTTCCCAACACAGGCTCAGGTGGCTTACAATAGGAAAGCACAATCACTTAAAAACAGGAAAGTGACAAAAGCACCAAAAAAGCTTAAAAGGAAAAAAAATCAAGATAAAGCAGAGAATCCCTAAACAGCATCTCATCCCAGTTTTTGTTTTTTGTTTTTTTTGGGGGGGGCGGGGGGGTTGGCAAATGCCTGCTAATATAACAATACTGCTTGTTTGGTAATGCCTGAGGTTTTATTCCAGAAAAGAGCGTGCACGCGCCTGTTGTAAGAACCAAACATGTAAAGTAGCTAATGTAATCATGCCCGTCACCCCATAGTGTCTAGCTTTTACCTCCATAGAAATGCTTGTCCAATAGAGCATGTGGGGACTTACTCTATGAGTTCTGTTTATGTAGCTATGATGGAGGCTGTTTGTACCAGAGAGAGAGAGAAAGTCTTGTAGGTGAAGGACCGGAGCAAAAGTCATAAAAACCTAAGTCAGAAAATCTGCATTCATTTCCTGGCTGTGCCACTGATCTCCTGTGTGGCATCGGGAAAATTGCTGTATCTCTCTCTTGCATCTCAGCTCTTCATGTCTTGGAGCTGGAAAGACCCAGTGCCGCATCCATTCACAACACCTAGAGCTACGAAGTCCCAATCTGGTCTTGGGTCTTCAGGTGCTGCTATAATCATAATATGTCATTGCAGCCAAATAAGCAATCAGGACATTTCTGCTAGCAGGTCCAGGGTACAAGGAAATGATTTAAATGAGAGGAAACATCTCTCACTTTCGATTTTTGAATAAAAGTCTTGCCACATTGGACAGCAAAGATCCAAAGCACTACAGCGTGATAATTAAAGTTTGTTATTGCAATGTGAACTGAATAGCCATTTTCAGTGTAGTTACTCAACCTGGAGCTGGAGGACAGCTGTGTCCTGGGGCCAGCTGAGAGAAGAGACAGCAAGGGAGGTAATCCAATTGCCTCCCAGGAAGTTTTTCTCTTCTGACCCCCTGCCATTGGCATGTTGGGTTGTGACTGAAACCCATTCCCATGCCAGAACGCACAGCTTACCTGGCTACAAAATGGGTTCCCAGTGGTGGAGGATGGTCTGCGGAGGCCTATAGGCCTCCTTGCCTATAATTGAAGTAGCCGCCCCACTCATCCTGCAAAAATGCAAAGCTAGAAGCCACTATCCTTATTAGCTCTACATCAAGCTAGGATTGAATATGGAGCCCCATCCCCGTTTGACTATGGATTGGCGCTGCTGCCCTGCATTGTAAATGCAGCGTGTATTTTGTGACTGCTCCACTTCCAGGTGGAGTTCTGAAAACATACAGTGCTGTTTCCTTCTCCTGGACCCCGCAAGCTTTTTCCATCCAGAACGTTATCCAGGAAATTCCCGGCTATACCTTTGAGGAGTTACCGCGATGATCTGGAATGCATTATTTGTGCACGGCAAATGCAAATTAATGTAGTCTTCACGTTTCGCTGTGGCAGTAAAGGGGAATGTTGACATCAGCCTGAAAGTAGAATTAGCTTTTGCATTATGTGGTGTGAGACTGAGGTGTTGAAACCCACTTGTGAGACTTTCCAAGCTACAGTAAAGAACTGTTCTGGCAGCACTGCAAAAACATCGTGCTGCTTCCAACAGCCAGAGGTAAGCTGAGCGGGCTGTCCGTTGGAGCCTGTTTCTATTGCTTCTGCTGGCCTTTCAAAACCCTGCCATTTTGTCTAGTTACTTCTAATGCGCTGCTCGGTTTATTGCAAACTCATCTCCTTAAGAAGAACAAAGTTACAGCCCTGTCAGGCTCTGCTACTCTCTGATAAAGAGCTGCCTATAGTTCTCAGCAACATTAGCCCCCATTATAATCCCTCTAACAACACTCCTTTTATAATCGCCCTAGGAATACTTCC